CAGTGGGAGGGCTTCTAGTGTCCTGGCCCCACTGGTGGACCTCCTGAGGGCACCTGGTATTTTTGACCACTGTGTGACACAGAGTGTTGGACTGGAGGGGCCATTGGCCTGATCCAGCATTGCCTTCTCTTATGTTCTTATGAAGAAACATCTGGAGCAGAGGTCCATCAGTGGCTGTTAGCCACAAGGTATAGATAGGAACTCTCGGTCTGGGGCAAGGGATGCTCTGTCTTCTTGGTGCTTGGGGGGGGGGAACAGTGGGAGGGCTTCTAATGTCCTGGCCCCACTGGTGGATCTCCTGATGGCACCTGGTATTTTTGACCACTGTGTGACACAGAGTGTTGGACTGGATGGGGCACTGGCCTGATCCAACATTTGGCATCTCTTATGTTCTTATCTGAAGATGCAGTCTGAATTCCTCCTTCTCTGACACGGCTCTCCATGGCTCCTGAACTCAAGCTGCTGGGGAACTGGGATGCAGCTCTGTGTGAGTGTGTGTGTGTGGACCTCCAAACTGGCTTGCTTTTGCCCATCCCACCTCAATAGAGATGGTTCTACCTGATGTCTCTGGAGGGTGTGCGGGCCTCAGGATGCGTCATGGACAGGTAGTTGGAAACATCGATGGCGTCGTCTTCCAGCTCCCCCTCCTCCAGCTCTCCTTCCTCCAGCTCCCCCTCCTCCAGCTCCTCCTTCCGGGCGGGCTTCATGAATCGGCTGTGCTCCAGGGGTTGGATGGGCTCGTCGGGCTCCACCCGCCTCCAGCAGGTCGAAATGTCCGCCAGGGAAGGTCCGGACTTGGAGCGCCACCGCCCCTCTGAGTACCACCTCTCATCAGGGCAGCCCAGCTGCTCGGCAAGGATGCGGTACTTGGCGGCATCGAAGAGTTCGTTCCTGGGCCCCAGCAAACCCCAGCCCTGCGAGAGGGAGAGAGAAGGGAGAGACGGGGGCACTGAGGGGTGCCGTTCTAAGCTGGGCTACCAGGTTTTTTCCCCTGGGCGCTACAGGGTCTTCGGCCCCACCTGCCCTCTGCTGGGGTTAATACAACAAACATAACATAGGAGGCTTGTGCACCTAGTTAAAGAGACAAGACTGGCTTGCTCCTAATACTAACACTCGAAATGGAACCAGAAGATAAAGTGCAGAAAATAAAGAAGTTAAGCATTGGTTTGCTCCTAACAGACATTGAACTGTATCAAGAGGCTGATACCTTGCTATACGATAGGATTACTCCTAAGGAAGACTGGGATGAAATGAGTTTATATCCGGGTGCTCATTAAGTATGATGTACTTTTCTTGTATATTTGTAAAGTTTTGTGGAGAGTATGATCGACTTTCCCTTGTAACTTTGTAAAGTCGGATTCATTATGCAACATGATCTTGACTAAATGTTTCAGTCACTCATGTCACAGTGTTTGTTGTATTTTCCTCGTGGATACCTGTGACCCCCCTCTTGGTTTTTTCTCTGCTGGGGTTAGGGTTAGGCTGCAACCTGCACAACTCTAAGCCCTCTGGTGCCTTCCACAAACTTCAGCAAGAGCAATGGGGCTAGAACAGTGACTGCCGGTTAGAAGAACTCAAGCGCGCAACGGCTGGAGGATTTAGAGCAAGTTCCAAATGCGTGCTCCTTGATGTACGCAAGACCAAGCTGGTGAAAAGGCCACGTTTTAGACTGAGGTAGGCCCATTGAGCTGCGGTGGCTCAAGTGGTTAAGACGCTGAACTGCAGGCTGTGGAAGGCCGTATGACCGAGTGAGCTCCTGTCTCCAGTTCCAGCTCCTGCCAACATAGCAGTTCGAAAGCAAGAAATTGCAAGTAGATAAATAGGTACCACTTCGGTGGGAAGGGAACAGCGTTCCGTGTGCCTCGGTGTTTAGTCATGCCGGCCACATGACCACAGAAACGTCTTCGGACAGCGCTGGCTCTTCGGCTTTGAAACGGAGATGAGCACTGCAACCCTAGAGTC